GGGATAGATAGAAAAGGCATATATATACAGATGAGTGAGAAGCGATACATTAGCTAAGGGACAAGGCTATGTAACTATTTACTGAAGACTGTGTATTGGGACAGTGCACACGTGTGCATATATTTGAGTTTCGAGAACTTTTCTGCAAATTATTGTGGCCTGCGAAGTGCACTTCTGCCCGAATTCCTATGTAAACGAGTAACTTACGAGCTCAGCTGAGGAAATAAACCAAAGAAATGTTGAGTATTTACCTAGCACGTGAATACTGGGTTCTATGATAATATCTAGGAATCACCTGGAGAAAATTTACACATCGTCAGCTACATGTGTTGATGACAGTATGAAAATTTTGAGGAAAGTTCTCTGATTTATTATTAGTTTCTGTACACTTTTCTCTAGTGAACTTTCAAACTCCTCTCAAGCTCAGCTGAGAAAACATATGAGAGTCTTGATTCCTGTACATTCCTACCCGAAGTCATATATATACTTCGATAATTACTGTGGAAACTCCTAAACTCAGCTGAGGAGAGCGAACATATAATCCTCCAACACTGTTCACCTGGAAGCTCGGCTCAGGCGAGATAGGTAGCAGATCCTCAGCGCGATGTCGAGTAGAATTAGATGTCTTCGTATGCAGTAGTGTTTTGAAATACCTATCAGTGTGGTGAAATTTGCACATGGGCAACCACACGTGTTGGTGACAATATGAAAACTGCGAGGAAATTTTGGAAAATCCTTGTTAATTTCTCTACATTTATCGTATATATTCTGCCAATTCGTATATAAACTTCTATGATTAGTGAGAAAAATATTGAGTTCAGCAGCTGAGGAGAGCGAACATTTTTTGCAGCACTGGTACCTATACTCACCAAGTGGAGTTCGGTGGAGTCTCACGTGAAATGGCGTAATACTTCATGTGATAAACGCGATTTGAAGTGAATTGAAAACACTTCGCGAATTAAACCGGACAAATAAACCCATATCACATATCACGTTTATTGGGTAAACACGTTTATGAACGATTATGAACGTTTATGAACGATTATGAACGTTTATGAACGATTATGAACGTTTATGAACGTTTATGAACATTTATGAACGTTTATGAACGCGGTAAAACATCACATAAAACACACCACGTATTCTGCACGTTATTAATCGCTCACATGCGTTTTCCGCAAAATGAAATGTAAATGTGTTTTTCACTAGTGTTTTTAATCTCACTGATGAAACTCTATTTTCAACGATATTGGAGTTTCACTCGTTTTACGTGAAGTGGCCTAATACTTCGTAAAAACACGATATTTGCGCTATGCAATGGTCGTGAAATCAGTTTCTCACTAGTGTTTTCTCATATCACCGAAAAAATTCCAGTGTTTGAAATACATATCACACTCACCCGCCTTTCACATGGTTGTCGACTTGCACATTATCGATACTCAGCTGAACGGTTGAGTCAGTACTCGGATTTCCAGCTATTTTCACCGACAACACTATGTGCCGAGTTGAAGCGTATCTAGAAAGCAAATAAAATGAACATTACTTTTACATTTTTCGAGATTTTTCGGGTCGAGAAAAGGACATAATATATGATGAAGTTTCACGCGAAAAACGCGATACTCGCGGTATGAAATAGTCGTAAAATATGTTTTTCATATCACGGGTGAAACTCCAATGTCATAATTTTTTGCCATTCAACTTTCCAAAAAATTTCATAACAAACACACGTCTTCGTAGTTTTTACTACTGAAATTTCACTGAATTTTTTTGTGACAAAAAAATTAATATAACTACACCAGCGAACTGACCACTTTATTATCAATTGATTCCCTTCCCCCCCAAGAATCATCATCTTAGCTCTAAAATAGCCCCTCGGTAGTTGAATCCACAAGCAAACACAACAAGTTCATCATATACCAATAATACACTCAGAGTTCTGCTATACTATACTTTCTATATAATATAGAAATTTCACTAAAAAAATTTTTTTCTGACAAAAAAAAAATAAATATATATGCAAGAGCAAACCGACTGCTATTAATACTGCTATATAATATCGTTACTTCTAGAAATTTTTCTGGAGATTTTTTCCTGACAAAAAAATAAATATATATGCAAGGGCAAACTGACTGCTATATGATATCGTTACTTCTAGAAATTTTCCTGGAAAATTTTCCCTGACGAAAAAAATGAATATATATGCGAGAGCAAACTGACTGCTATTAATACTTCATTCTTTTTCCCCTACACCTACAGTAACTCCTCAGGAGTTGAATCTATAAGGCTCAGCCCGATGCCTTCGAGCTCAACAGTCATACTCAGTCGAACACTCGGAGTCTTCAAGTTTAACGGTTCCTCCAACTGAGATGCTATCGCTGATGATACAGTTGTCGCTGTGCCTGAGAGCACCGACAGGATTGCGAACAAATAATACGATAAAAGATATCAATAATCTGAAGCTAAGCTGAATATCGATTTCCTATTCCAAACAACTGTTGTATGTACGTTGTACTATGTTTATTTTATAATTCTGTGCTTATAAGAAATAGAGTGGTCGAGTTTCAGTATGAGACGGCGCTGTCACTAAATGATAAGTTGTCACTCATTACTGCTGACTTCCTTTCCAGTTATCACTGGTGACAGGACTCCTGTTATACGAGAAAAAGATAGAATATTAAAATACAAATCATGAAACACTTCGCTCCGCTGTGCTATAGGCTAGGCGATTCCAGCAAGAGAACTAAGGATTCCAAGATGTCGCCTTTCTCACTCGTACTAGT